CAGCCTCCTCAGACGACAATCGATGGCATAAACTATGACACGCCCGAGACAATGGCCGGCCTGTTGATACGGCCGATTCACCTTTCGACATGGCCATCACTTTGTCTAGCTCTAATCGGCGAGCAGGGCTGTGGAATTTGCTCAGATTATTTGTTGTGTCATTGATGCTTACATACACAAATCTATACTAATATTATAAATGCGAAAGTAACTGTCTGTCTGTCTCGCTTTCACGCCTAAACCACTGAACCGATTTTGATGAAATTTGGCAGGGAGAGTTTGAGTCTCCGGAAAGGACATAGGATAGTTTTCATCCCGGTTTTAGAAACAGGGACGCGCGCGATAAAGTTTTTCTGTGACAGACAAAATTTCACGCGGACGAAGCCGCGGACGGAAAGCTGGTAGATAAATAAAATTGAAAATCTGTTTTGTTATGCCAATATAACCGCTATTTACTTTTGCATAAGATAGTGCGCATAACAGTGATTAGGTGAAACAAAACAATGTTTTTTATAAAGGTTGGACCAATTTTGATGCGTTTTCACTGAAAGCTTTATACACTGAAGATAGGTACTTTTATTTTACATCTATGAATTTTGATTGGAAAAACAAACGAAACATGAAATACGTAATAAAATCTTTTACACGTCGCATGGTGTAATGTGCAATATGCTGGAATCAATATTATATTCAAAACACTACTACTGTAACAATGTTCTTGAAAATAAATGATTTATTATTACTTATGTTTTTCTTCCGCTCAGTTCGTTAGTTGCTAAAATACAAGCCCTATAGTTTAAAATCAGGGAATCACCTGGCTGATTGTTGCATTTTTATTACCTCTTTGATACTGTCGTCAAGCCATCTCTCCCTAAACCACAAATTTCTAGTCAGCTCGCGATATAACGCATCGGTCATTGCTACCGTTTTCGGCGTCACATTTCATTCAAGCCTGCAAGTGACGTGACATCAGAATGTTTACTGTTACCGCTGAGCGTTTGATATTCGATTTTAGTGTTTATTTTCGGTCTTTGTAAAGGATAATGGGCTATTGTTTGGAGTGCAGACGATTTGATTGAATAAATTCTTTTGATTTACGAAACTTGAAACATCGCAAAGTTTATATGATGGTACTAAATTTTTGAATTCGGGATATTCTTAAACGAACTAAAGTCGCTGGCATAGCCCGACGGATTAGCAAGCTAAAGTGGCAATGTGCAGGGCACATAGTACGCAGAACTGACGGCTGATGGGGCAGCAAGGTTCTGGGAGTGGAGGCCGCGTACCGGAAAAAGCAGCTTGGGTCGTCCACCAACAAGGTGGACCGACGACATCATAAAGGTAGCAGGAAGGCGCTGGACGCAGGCCGCTACCAATCGATAAACATGGAAAGCATTGAGGGAGGCCTATGTTCAGCAGTGCTGAAATGATGACGATGACTAAGTTTTTCCGTTACCTACTAATTTTCATGACCAACCGTAGAGTGGTCCTGAAGTGGTTTAAGGGTAAGATATAAATGAAAAGGTCTAAAGAGCAACAAAGGATTAAAAAAAACTAATACATTACTTTTCAATTACAGCAAGATGAAAGTACCTACTGAGAGTGATTAGAGACACTTTGTTCCAATAGGTAAATTCCCATGTACATATTTTTTAATTCCAGATCACGTTTCCACTATTATAGTATACTTAGTCAGCTGTATTTTTGCAGATCGTCTTAATTCGAAGTTTGCTAATACGTTGTTCATCAAAATGAATTTTATGGCCTAATGTGTATGAGCTATAGTTTCAATTCTAGATGGAAATATATCATTGGTTGACTGTAGTATCATGATAAGTAAATTTTGGAGAATATTTACCCTTATACCGTATGAATATGGCTTACATTTGTTTTGTTGGTAGATTTTTTCTATTGTGCCATGGGAAAGGAATCTATTAGGAGTGATTTATATTAATGAGACTTTAAATAGTCTCATTAGATTTCCGCGAATGATGGATACCTACTATAGCAACGAAGACTTATTTGAGTAGAATGTGTCGTGAATACTAATTCACCAATAAATGTAAATAAGTAAACGAAAACGTAAAATCTTGACTAGAAAACGTAAGCCTTGACTGAAAGGCTGTTTTAACATCTTTATTAGGTACAGAATAAAAAGAAAACAACCCATTTATATCAATAAAAATTATACAGAGTGTTTTTTACTTGATCAAACGAACATATCTACTGCTCAACTGCAACTTTTTTTCTTACAGGACCAGCCCAAAAAATATACTAAGTAACTGATAATTTGTATGAAAAGGTATTTTTAATTTTTAAACTTCGGTCTCTTGGGAAAAGTTGTTGCATTTGAGGATTAGAAAAATAACTTTTTTGGTTTGATCAAGTATAAAATTAACATACTGTATATTATTGCAGTGGACGTCTTTCGACTGAAACGAACGAACGAACGAACTGTATATTACGCACGATTCTAGTCTAAACAGTTGTTACAGTAAGAAAATATCAAATCCTCACTGACGTAGAGACAAACTACCAGCTCGGTCAACATCGCGAAACAAAAGCCTATCGTCCTCTATAACCACTTATAAGCCGGTTCGAACAAAACCTACGAATTACCGAGCTCATGACCCGTATTCGCAAATTAGCCCCGAGCTCCTGACCTCAAGCCGCCATTGCCTCCGATGACGGACGTAAGAGAGGAAGGGCGGAAGGTTCGGCAGGTAGGATGCCCGGTATAAGGTGAGGTCATGGTGGTGAGAGAGCGGATTGAATGAATACTTTCATGTTTGTTTTGTAATCATAAATACAAAGTAGAGTTAAAGAAAAAGTCAAATATGATTGACCGAGATGTTTAGCTAGAACAGGTTAGGTATTATGACTAAGCCATTCGCCAAGAAAGGACTATCCAAAATTAACCTCCTGAGGGGATGAAGTAAAGGTCTAACGGTTAATAGAGCGAATTATTGGCGCGAATCACAAATTCTTACCAATGACGTAGGGTTATATCCTGTTGAACATATTAATAAATCTTTACACATAATTTAAAGGAAACAATGCTGAAAAAATCTTTATTGTTCCTTGGTAAGTTTCATAGACTGCATAGACAGCTCATGGCATTTACAAAAAATTTATTCAACGAGATTCAGAATCCGCTATTCTCTTTACAAAGCACGCACCCTGTCATCACAGAATAATTTCGTCAAACGCATCTAATTGAGACGTTCCTACATCACGGCACCATTGTCAGCGTCGACAACGCGTAATTGTTATATTACCCGCCTGCTTAGACGCTGGCAATAATTACGCTGCTTAAGCAGCATATAATGATTAATAATAACTTCTTGATGAAAACATGCTATCTACTGCCAAAGGATATGCACTGTGTAAGCTGCGTAAAACTGTGCAAGCCATAGAAATATGATGATGAACTGTATGAGCCATTGATGCCAACGAATGCGCTGAGTTCGAAACTCAGTGTCGCATTAGAAATTCACACACATAAAGTGCGGTATCAGTAGGTACTCAACGTTTTAATAATCGTGGTCGGTATGTGGCTTTTGTAAAAAATGCAAGAGTGATGGATTTTTAAGGCAATTAAGATCGACTTCATACAGGTATCAGGAAGGCGCTGGATGCACTACGCTACGAGTACCAACCGGGCAATATGGAAATCGTTGAGGGAGGCCTATGTTCAACAGTGGACGTCCTGTGGCTGAAATGATGATGAACTTTTGCTCTCCATTTTGCATGAATTAAATATAGAGCTTTAACTAATGGGTCTTCGACAGTTAAGAAGTCGCCCGGTATATGAAAGGTCCTGGGTTCAATTCCCAACAGAGGCAACTTCAAGTTTCAAACTGATGCGACCCACCAATAAATTAAAAGTCCACCAGTGAAGTACTGAATGTCAACAGATTGAATTTCCTCGCATCGCTACACTCGCACTAATCATCTGCTAATTAAGACAAACTAAAGGAAATTAAATTTCACGCCCATTCCATGTCACTGTTGCGCAATTTACTTTTTATGCCCAAATTCGGTGGAGATACGAGTAGACGATGACAAGTATTTTCAATTTCGTGATGATTGAAAATTTATTTTTTTATATGACAAGGTAATCGTGGTTCGTATATGGATTTCAGATTTTAACCCTTCAGGCCAACGTAGGATCAAGGAATTCAGTTGGGATTATAAGACCTTTTCGAGAATACCTACTTAAATTGCATGTTTGACTAAACCTAAAACTCTGAAATGAAAAATTAACTGCAGTAGGTATCTCTGTAAACCGAAACTGAAAATTAAAGTCAAACTGAAATGAATCAAATGAGTAAATTACTGCACCCTTCTTATTGCAACTGTGAATCATCAAAGATTAAAGTCTGCGAAGTAATGATATAAAAGTGTAAAAGTAGTGTCGAAATCCACATGATAGAAGAAATTGCTTAGGGCTATTTAACATCTGCTCAGTTCTGTTCTTTGCGTTGCTTCTTCTCAGCGCTGGCCCATTTATTATATTGAAGCAGAAAGTAATTCTGAGGGGTGTAAAGGCGCTTCCTAAAAGCCTATTTGCAGAAAATAAATTAGTTTAGTAAACCGGCAGACAGTGGTGACTGAGTTTGTTGCGGCGCTTCTTCGCAGCACTTGCCAAATGTTTGTCTCGAAGCGCTGGTAGGGCAAAACAAGAATGAGACATGTATAGGCTTCATGAGCATTTGACGATTTGTAAGTACTAATTGAATTAGTCTATACAAATAAAGATAATTTTGATTTTGATTTCGTTTAGTGTTTTTAGGATGATCAGGTGATCGGAACAGATTAACTCTATCTGAAACGTCACATGTCAATTTTTTCTCGTCTCGACTTCCATCCCTCGGACCTTCAGGCGCAGGGTTCAATGGCAGCGTACAATGGGCCGAAGGAAGCCAGCCACTCATCCATGCATCTCTAGGACACATCGGGCTATAAAGCGCTCGCGCGCGCCCTACGTCGTCAGTCCGAACTGTAGTAGCTCAACGAACATGGCTTGCAAAAATGTGAGTACTTAGTACTAGCTATTTGAGTCAGTTTTAAGTCATAATCAAGTGCCATTATCAAAATATCAAAGTAAATATTTTAAGATAAATAGTGTTAATCATTTTTTTTTGGCGAAAAAGTGACGATAAATTTTTAGTTACCTGATTTTGGAACTATTCTGTTTATTTTTTTGTTTACGTATGAGTGGGCCGGCTTAAATGAAGTGTATGTAGGTCAAGCCAATATGCCAATTAAATGAACAACTCATTTTGTACAGCTTTGTTTTCCGTGGGAAATAATGAAAAAGGATTAATGCCATTTGAATACAATACAGTATCGATATTATATTAGCTTTGAGGTACTAATTTCTTTTTAAGTGATACAAACGTTTTAGCTGCTTATTACAAAATTGAAAGACATTATAATCGATTGATGGATAGTCAAATAATTTCAGATTCTTATGCCAGTCTTGACTGTCCCAAACAAACGAAACTTAGAGACATTTCCACTGCAGTTCGGTGGCATAACAATTTTACATCTACTGGTCAATTTCCAGCTCGCCTTCATCATCGTCAGCCTCGTCTTGCTGGTGGCGGCTTTAGCAGCACCTGCTGAAAAACAACAGCCCGCCGAAGCAGAACCAGCACCACAGAAGGAAGACCTGGTCTCCGCGTCCGAGGATCTCAAGCCAGCAGCCTCGCACTGGGGCGGCGGCTGGGGCGGCTGGGGCGGCTTGGGCGGCCACTGGGGCGGCCACTACGGCGGCTACTACCCCTATTATGGCAGCTACTGGGGCGGCTGGCCTAGCTACGGCTACGGCGGCTATGGCGGCTACGGCGGCTACTGGCCGTACGGCGGCTACTACGGCCACCACGGTGGCTACTGGTGGTAACCACGAAAAACTAACATAGATCAATGCCAGTATTAATTTTACACGAAACGGATTCAGTTTTGGCTTTAGGTCGAGATTTTATATTAGTTAATGTAACTGGATAATCATTGTACTACGTTATTTTATGAACCTCTACATAGTTCTGTGATTTCGTTTGTATTTCTTACATATCAACAGTACTGATGCATTTTTATGATACTCTTAATCACCTTTCTCTGATCATACACACATCTCGACCAAAAAGCTCAATAAGCTTGCCTTAGCTTAAAGTATATGTATATAGGAGTAATATTACTGACTTAATTACACACCATAGCAATAACACAGTATTGGCGAATTCCCTCACGTATTCGCTGACACCTGCGTCAAACATTATTACTGTTAGATTAGATAATGCGTTTTTGGCAAGTTGAGTATGACAGGAATAGCTAATGACCGTCAGGGTGCTTGGGAGAGGGGGCAGGATGTGTAAAAACCAAATGATGGCACGTGAAGACATGGCATGATCCCAAGCGAATAACAATGCCATAATGATGGCATTGAAGTGCTAACTAANTCTAACTAAGGCAAAATGATCGCGATGAAATGTATTACTGATTTGGCATAATCCTGTATGTCGAAAAGAAAGAAATTGTGTTCTCAGCTTACATTAAATACAGTTTCATTACTTATCTTTTATCATTTTCAAAGTTCAAAATAGGTTTTATTTTTAAGAGTGTTACTAGTATTATACCTACTATACTGCCTATACAATTAATAGACCTGTAAATAGTTATAAGTACAATTGTATTTATTAAAGATGAATGAAGAATATTACTGTGATTTCATTTTTATACCTATTTACTAAATCATGAAATAAAATACTTATACAGTCTAATAAAGAGAAAAAAAGAAATAATGTATATTATAATTTTCTAGATTTGTGTTACTCGTACAAATTAAACTTTTTATTACAAAACTCGAATGTCTGTAAAAATGGAAAAAAATGTATGCTGAATAGATTTTCATTACTAGTAACTAATCACCAGTTATCATTTTATCAAAATACGCGCGGACAAAGTCGCGTGCAAAATAGGGTCAGAATGAATTGCAGGTGCATCTTCAATTCAAAGAAGTTTTTACTTATTTTAATGCAAATGCTCCTAATCTTAGTAATAGATTAGATTTCTAATCTTAATTGAAATCATATTGTTTTATGTTAATGGCGCTTTAACAAAAAAAAAATAGAAGAGAAAATAATTCGAAAGCCAAAATGAACTGATTATCTGTACCAAAACATTTAGTGTCAACAAACTCTGAAAATAAACATTTCAGCCCACAAACGAAAAGTAATTTAGTTTTCATTCATATAAACAATACCTACGACATATTTCATGTTAATAATGCTAATAATCTCATAATTCAATTTAACATAAGATTTTACTACAAACAAATTTTATTAAGAATAACTTTTATAATCGCTAACGTATTGATGTCTTTTGTATGGGCGGCGAGTATAGAGCACTTTTCAGCTTTGCAACGACTAGTAGCGCCATCTATCCACAACTAATAAGACTAAATACTAACTTGTCTACTTTATCAATACACTGAACGTTTGGAAAATCTATGCAAAATTTTATATAAAAATAACTTACAAAACCGCTCACGCATTGATGTCTTTTGTAAGAGCATCGAATCTGAGCGCATCTTTGCAACGACAAGTAACGCCATCTATACATAACTAATAGGAATAAACTTGTCTACTATATCAATATTTAATTGGCTTGGCCTGGACATTGGAATATGTATGGAAACTTTTGAAGAAAAATACGCATTTGAAATGCCTGTATTAATTATTTTATTTAGTATTTTAAGGAAGTTCGAAGCAGAAAAATAGGTATTGTATTTTGTCCTCTGAAAGTTGAAAAGTTTTAATCGTGTTCTAGAAAAAAAATCTGTTGTACGTGTTACAATTACTATAATAGTACACTGTACATGCCATTAGATTCTGTCTTGAACAATTCAATTTTATTATTTGTAACACCAAAAGCATCAATAAGTAACAACGTGAAGAAAGTATTTTTTTATAATACAAAATATTTCTTACAATGAGCCCCACCTGTGTATCAAACTAATTAACTCCTACAACTAAAATATTAACTTGAGGCTTCAGAAACAAAATAAAACGAAGAATTCTAAAGCGCCTTGATAATGTTTTACTGCAAATTCTTATAGCGAGAGATTTGCTGATGACAAATATTCGAAGAGATGTCGGTTACGAACTTGAATAATTTATACAGGCGTTATTGCACTCTACGCATACATAAAAATGTTTAAAGAAACATGGATAAGAAAGACTTGTAATAAAAATGTGTAAAAGTTACCGAAATAAACTTTATTTCTTATTATGTCTTTTCCATGAAAAACTGAAAACATTAATTTGGCTTTTTGCTAAGGAAAAAATATTTAAGATTTCACCAAATAACTTTAAAACCGAAACGCTAAGAGATGCTAAATATCGATTTGATATAGTTAGTGTATCTTGGTAGGTAGGTAGCCAAGTTTTTCTTAACGAAATGCGATGATCGAGCAGTGTCAGGTGCTTTAAAATCTCACATAGGGTTTTTGTGAGGTAACAGGGGGTAAGTAAATAAAGTATAATTTGTAAAACATTGAATTTCGCGATCGTTTACGAAGCAGCCTTGCGTAAAAATATCAACCAATTTCAGAATTAATTGTTACGAATGATTTCGTCTCAGCTCTTACAACCCACGCATCAAAAGAAAAAGAATAAAAACCTAATAAGCACTGATTACAAAATACCTGTTAAATTGCCAGTCGATTATATTATTATACAAAGACGTTGATTAATTAAATGCAAATCTATCAACGCCATCAATTAGGCAGAAAACTAGTATACCAACATGTATGGCTTGAAATCATCCTCGTGTACCGTGCTATGGTCCAATTTGAAGCAAGTGGGCTCCTTGTCCGCGCGACCTTGCCCACCGAAAGGTCACTAAGTTTGACCTTTAAATTGACCAGCAACAAATTTATTCCAACTATGTTTGTGTGATCTTAAATTCTCATGATGGCACCTATTTGAAATGACGTGGGATGCTATCTTGGAGGTGATCGATATAAAGAAATAACAGGTTCAACGCTTTCTTGAAATACATAATATAATTCAACAGCTCTATTTTTATATAAAAAATAGATCTGTTGAATTATATTGTTGAATTATACAAAAAAACTCATCGAAAAAGGTCAACCTGATCAACTTTTCAATTTCTAGAATATTTTTATGATTGATGGGCTTGCTTTTTGACATCTGTTAAACTGAAAACAAAATTTAATGTTTTGTCTATATTTAATGCAAAAACTATCAATTAAGAATTATAAAACATATATTTACATGATATTAAAGCTTTTTTTATTAGAAAAAACAAACACAAACACCAGGATTTCTATGTAGTCAATACCGTTACTATAAATTTGTATTCAGTCAATTGTTAATTAAGGTGATTAGAGTAGGTATGTAAGTTACTACGCCGAAACAATACTAAGTATCTAGACGTATCCTAGACGCATCGAGCAAAACATTATGGCATTATTTTACTTCTCTTCTTCTTCCTCGGTCCCTCACTGATGAGGATCGCGACCACAGATAGTGTTCCTCCACAGACTGCGGTCATAAGCTGTGTGGACCGCACGATGCAAACTCCCGCCCACCATTATTTTACTAGAGTGTGTAATAATAGGTGGTTCGTTCATTCGTTTCAGCCAAATGACGTCCACAGCTGGACAAAGATGGATAAAATCGGTGGCATTAAAAAAACTCCTATTTTGGTACAGCGTCATCATATAAGAAATATTCTGTGAAATAATATTATTAAACTTCTAAGTAATTCACATAGTGGCCATGAAAGCTTAAAATAGTAGAATCATTCATATGACTTGTGTCATGTATTTTGTCTTAGTAAAATTATTGGAAATAAACAAAAGTGTTTTACGAATATTACCCCGACTCGATATTAGAGTTCGCTGTATTTCGCAATTCCCAGTAAGCCTTACCAAATGCGATGCGACTGATTTGAATAATACCGTTTTGTAGACCGGCGCACGCGCACAAGGCCCCGTACTTACAATCAGGGATGTTATGGATATCCGTAACCGTAACCGAAACTTTCGATATCTGAAATAAAAAAATATCCGTAACCGTAACCATACCTAACCTATTTAAAGGTTTCGGATAGTTTCTGATGTAGGCAGAGTCAAGCAAGTCTCTACGCTGATTTAATGATTGCATTAAGTACATGAGTTTTTTTCACTTATGATAAAAGCTTTTTTGTGAGACCAAAAGAAGGTGACAGATGCCAGAGAAATCTCTTCTATACCCATTCTATTCGTAAGGCATGAATTGTGTTGGACAACCATTGGAATCTACACTATCGCATTCTATACTCAGCACAGATAACCGTAACCGAAACTTTCGGATTTCCGAAATAAAAAAATATCTTTAACCGTAACCGAAACCGGTATAATATTAGTCCAATATCCGTAACCGTATAACCGAAACTACATATCCATAACATCCCTACTTACTTACAATTAATACCGAGTTAGTTTACCTAATGGATGAGGCGTTTGACCTCCGTTTGAGCATACGTGCTACTGTGTTTCTATAATGATTAATGAAAAGATTTGTAGCATGCATGACTATATCAGATTGATTTTTAATTATCGAAGAGGAACAGCCTGAGCGTCGTTAATAACAGCGACAGAAAGAAGTCCTGTTGAAGTATTACTGTAACATTTATATTTTAATTAGTGACTGCAACATGGTGTCACATTCAATGTGTTGAGTTAGCTATATTTTAGTTTTAAGTAAATTTGTACTTTTCGAATCAATAAATATTGGACATTCAAACCCTAAGCACGTCTTTCACTTAACATACCACATTGTGAAGGAGTACAGGAGTTTATTATATTGAAATCAATTACCAGATTAATGAGAACAGGAAAATCTAGTGATAAAGGAGCAAGACTTGGCCTATAGATTTGGTTTGGGGTTTTTTTTAATTAAAATTTAGTAGTGGCATTGGTCATAGGTTTTTTTATATTTTATTTCTAGGCTTAAAATTAGCATTGATTGGTGTACATAAATAAATATCCGTAGTTAATATTTTTACACTAGGTACATAATGTCAAGTTCAGCACGAAAACTGCATAACAAACAATTATCTTGCGTCTATGAAAATAACAATTTATAAATGTAAAACAATTAATTTTGTGATTCATTCAATGTTATATTGTAACCGGTTATCGACCTCTTAGGTAATTTTAATTGGTAGAATTACTAAATAGATGATAAATATTTAAAGAAAAGTTTGATTAGGCAACAAATGTTGCCAAGATGTTTTCAGTTTATGTCTTGTTGGATGTCCTATTAAATAAATAAAAATAAAATAAAAGTCATGGTTCTTCGGCCAGGAAATGCAACCTTGTTTTGTGAACTATAAACCAAATACTAGATTTTTAAAGTAAATATTGCCCACGCGTGTCCTT